TGGCCTACAGACATACACACAGACAGAATATTGTATACATAATAAATAAAAATATTTAAAAAAAATAACAATTTCTAACTTTAACTGAGTCATATCCTGAGACTTTCCAGGGTTTAGTCCTAAAACAGAATTCAGATTTTAACCCTAGAGTTCATAGCTCTTTTATGTGCAACTTCGTTCTTAATTCTCTCATTCTGCTGGAATTAGATCTTTGACTATCTTTTCAGCTTCTCCAATACATATGCATTTATTGTAGGACTTCTTTCATTTTATGGGTATGGAAGTTTGACCTGCATGTGTATCTATCCCATGTGTGTGCAGTACCTGAGGAGGCCAGAAGAGGGAGTCAGATCTCCTGGAGCTAGAAACACCAAAAGCTGTGAGTGGCCATATGCGTGCCAGGAATCCAAAACCTTTATCCTCTGAATGAGCAACTGGTGCTTTAACAGTGAGTCATCTCTCCAGCCCCAGTTTCTGTTGTTTAATTCAGACCATCTCCTTTTCATGAAGCTACTTTAGGCATGGTGACGCAGATTTGTAATTCTACATTTAAAAGGCTAAGGCAGAAAGACTGAGATTTTGAAATTAGTCTGAGCAATTTACCTTGTTGTTATTGTGGGGTAGCTGTCAGAGAACACTGCTGAAGTCAAATGGCAGCCTTTATTAGCCAGCTAGCAACTATACTTAGCACTGAGCCTTTAGAGGCTGAACTTTTAAGCACAAAAATCATATTCTCCATTGATATACTTCAATTAACAAGAACAATTAGCTAGAAGCAGAACTACAGAAGCCAAAAAGCAAGGTTTGCACATTGTGAGACTTTCCCAGAACTATGGACTTGGATGGCCTAGGTCTTTGCTTTTATTTTGACACACAGTACTGTCTATGAGCTGAGTTTCATGGCCCGAAGAGCATTTCCATCACTGAGTCAGTTGTGCTAAGGTCTGAGGGCCTGCTACATTAATCAAAACCAAACACCAATGAACTGGACAAATGGCTCAGTGATTAAAAGCAGTTGGTGGCTCCTACAGAGGACCCGAGTTCAGTCCCCAGCAACCACACATCTGTAACTCAGTCATCTGTAACTCTGGTTCCAGGAGACCTGGCACTCTCTTCTGAACTCCCTGGCTCCAGGAATGGCTGTAGTGAACATATATCAACCATACATACAGGCAACACACTCATACCCATAATAAAAACAACAAAACAGAGCCCAAGCCCCAAGCATATAGCATATCTTCTGCATCTAACAACGTTCGCTATGTCCCTAGCTCTTTAATGCTGAGCTACAGAGCACTGTCGGGAACAGTCTGGTCTTACTGGTTAGTTCAGTCTCGGTAGACTAGGGTAGTCTTTGCTATCCTAAGGATTCTGCTCCTGCTCAGATTTAACGCTTTCTATTCTCCTTTCAGTTAAGAGTTTCCCTGGTTCTCTCTTTCCCTTAAGTCCATCCTTTTCGCCTGCCTCTGCCTCCTGAGCACTGGGTTGGAGGCCTGCACCGTACCTGCTTTCCTTCAATCCTTTGAACCTGTGATTTAGCCCCTGCTACCTGCGGAGATTCAAGCACACAGTGATCCCATTGTTGTTCAGAAGACTGTGCAGTTTTTATTTTGAGATTCCTTTGGACCTGCAGACTTCTCTGCAGAGCATTGATTGTTTTGTTTTGTTGTCAGCGAGTGTGTCCTTTATGATTTTAGTTTCCCAAGAGTGGTGACCACTTTTGGTCAATGTTCTGTGTGAATTTGAAAATAATGTAAACTTTGGATATAATATAGTTGTAGGTATGAGTTATGATTTAGTCTTGTGAGATAGGTTTTCCAAAATTCTTATATCCACAAAGGAGGTTCCAGTCACCATGGTCACTTACTGAAGATTGTATAAATATTACTATTATTCTCAATGTTAAGTGGGAAATATCCCAATCTGTGTGACCTCAGAGTAAGTCACACAGCAACTGGCTTGTTGCAGTAGTACACACATGGTACACTCGCACACCCAGAGGTTTTAGGAATTACCCTTCCGCATCTACACCATCTTTGGTCTACACATGTGGTTTTGTCAACATCCCCAAAGTGTACATGACTCATGAATCTGAGGGACTCCGATTCATCTCAAATATAATTTTTTTTTATGGTTTTTCGAGACAGGGTTTCTCTGTAGCTTTGGTGCCTGTCCTGGAACTAGCTCTTGTAGACCAGGCTGGTCTCGAACTCCCAGAGATCAGCCTGCCTCTGCCTCCTGAGTGCTGGGATTAAAGGCGTGTGCCACCACCGCCCGGCTCAAATACAATTTTTTTTTCTTGGTTTTCAAAACAGGGTTTCTCTGTGTAACAGTCCTATCTGTTCTGTCCTGGAACTAGCTCTTGAAGACCAGGCTTGGCCTTGAACTCACAGAGATCCGCCTGCCTCTGCCTCGCGAGTCCTGGGATTAAAGATGTGTGCCACCACCACCCAGCCTAATTTTTGTTTTTGAGGTAGGGATGTCACTATGTAGATTTGCTTAGCCTAAAACACCCTACATAGACCAGGCTGGCCTTGAACACATAGAGACCAGCCTGCTTCTGCCCGAGTGCTGGGATTAAAGGTGTGTGTCACCACGTCAGGCAAACGTCATTTCTTCATGCTAGGAAGATTGTTAGTTTCTTAGTTTTGCTGTCTTTACAGTCTATGCAACTTAACTTTCTCCTCAGAACGAACTGAGCCAGGAAGATTGCTTAGTTGGTTGTGACAGCTATGGACCTTTATAAACACATTCCAACCATCACAAATAAGATAAACTTTTAAAGGGAAAATTATCTTTTTTTTTTCTGTAGGCAAATGATTGGAATTCACATTTTACTGTGATGAGCTCTCCTACTAATCTTGTAAAAATCCTATATATTCACTGCATTTCTGTGTTTGAGCACGCAGAGGGCAGAAGGTGATTTTTCTGAAACTCTACTCTCCTTCCATCAATTGCCTTTGTCCCCAGGATCAAACTCGGGGCACTGGGCAAGTACTTTTACATGCAGAGCCCTCCTTGCCAGCCCCAAAATTGTATTCTTAACATTTTTTTTTTTTTTTTGGTTTTTCTTTTCCAGGGAGATAGGGGTAGGGAATGGTTATTTAGAACAATTTCTATCACCTAGTGTTTGGAAACCAGTATGAAAATGTGGCAATCAGGGTTTAGATCCTTAAAATGACTCAGAGAAAATAAAAACTCCAAAAAAGGAATTGACAAGCAAATCCTTCAGATTTTCATAGTGCAGAAACCTCAGAACACAAGGTTAAACTGGGTGGTGGTGGCGCACGCCTTTAATCCCAGCACTTGGGAGGCAGAGACAGGCGGATCTCTGTGAGTTCGAGACCAGCCTGGTCTACAGAGCTAGTTCCGGGACAGGCTCCAAAGGCACAGAGAAACCCTGTCTCGAAAAACCAAAAAAAAGAGACAAGGTTAGTCCTTTGGCTGGCCTAACCCCATTGTTCATGAGTGCATACATTCATCAGCACACCTTTTTCCTGTTTACTAAGTTTGCCTAAGTAGCCTAGCTAGATGAAATGACTTGTAGCAGACAATAGTGGAGATGAGCTGTAGGTGCTTTCTTTTCCCCTGGCTCTCTTTTGTGTGAAAGCAGGGAGTGTTTAATAGGAGTACTCTTAAGTCCCCTCCCCACCGCTGACTTGAAGTACTACACCACGCGTTTTGTTTGTTTTTCCGAGACAGGGTTTCTTTGTGTATCCCTGACTGCCTGGTACTTGCTCCGCATTCAGGCTGGCCTTGGACTAACAAGGGGTCTGCCTGAGGACTGGGATTAAAGGCGTGTGCCACCACTGCCCAATTTACATCATCATTTGAGGAAGTTATTACCAAAAACTTGCCAAAGATTATATAGACAGAGTCTCACTAGGGCTGGCCTACATATGAAGCTGTCCTCTAGAGAGCTGGGATTAAAGGCATGAGCCACTATCAAATTTTAAAGCCCACTTTCCCCTATTAGGCCACATAAGAGATAATTTTAGTTTCTACAGAATCACGTCCTACAAGAGGCCTCGATGCCTTATTGGAAAGATGATTTATTCAGTAAGGAGTTCAAAGCACTATGCTTAGGGAAGCTACTTTAGAGTGCTAAAATATGTACAAGAGAACTTGTTGGGAAAGGAAAGAGCTGGAGGCGCAATGGTGCCTGCACTGCTTCCTACCCCCGACCCACTGATGACGACTTACCTGGTTTCAGCTTTAAGTGGAACCACTTAACCCTAACCCACTAGAAAGGGCTCGATCGTCTCATTTTGACAGGAAGACAATCAGAGAAAAAGAAAACCTTTCTGAAGAGCATCCAGTCCTTGGTGAGGGTTAGGACTAGTCTCATTCTCGCTGTCCACGGTTGGCGCTCACATAAAAGCCTGCTGTGAAAACGGCACCTAGGGCTGATGCCGACGTTAAAAACACGCGTGGAGTCGGGCAGCGAAATGGCGCAGCAGGCAGGACTTGCACCCAATCTTCTCTCGCCCCACTCCCGCCGCCCCTAACCACAAGGGGATGGACGAGACTCCAGCACTTGACTTCTATACATGCATATAACTTAAGTCTAACGGGACATTCAATCTTTAACAACTCACAATAACCTAAACTGGGTAGGAACAGAGTTTCCGAAGATCTTCCTGCTCAGCGGCATTGGAACTGCGTGATGACAGGAACTGTTCCCATATTACGGGCTAAGCAGACCCGATTATTTCCGGATGCCCCAGGGCTGTGAGGGACTACAGCTTTGAAGTGACAGAAACTGGTGAGGTACACTAGAGAGCGGCTCACACTACAGCAGCACTAATAATAGCTAAAAGGGAATACGTTGTGTATCATGTACGTGATGCGACAGGCTGCGCCGCACCCGGCCCACCCAACATTCTTTGAAATGTTGGGTATTGCACCAGAGCCCTGCAGGGAGACAGATTTGCCGCCCCACCTTACCTAAGCAAGAGATCATAAGCCATTAGTGGTTACAGCTCTTTCTTCGAGAGCTGAAGTGGCTCTGAAAAGAGCCTTTGGGGTAAAGTCGATCAATCACGTCTCGGCTGCGCTTCACTTGGAGCTGGTGTACTTGGTGACGGCCTTGGTGCCCTCCGACACGGCGTGTTTAGCCAACTCCCCCGGCAGCAGCAGGCGCACGGCCGTTTGGATCTCCCGGGAAGTGATGGTGGAACGCTTGTTGTAATGCGCCAAGCGGGAAGCCTCGCCAGCGATGCGCTCGAAGATGTCGTTCACGAAGGAGTTCATGATGCCCATGGCTTTGGACGAAATGCCCGTGTCCGGATGCACTTGCTTCAACACCTTGTACACGTAGACAGAGTAGCTCTCCTTACGGCTGCGCTTGCGCTTCTTGCCATCTTTCTTCTGGACTTTTGTGACAGCTTTTTTCGAGCCCTTCTTTGGAGCAGGAGCGGATTTGGCCGGGTCCGGCATTTTCCTCCACGTTCAAAGAAACACCACAAAATGGAAGAGGCGAAGACGGACTGTTGGAGAACGGCTGGTTATGCGCTACTTATAGAGCTTGTATGCAAATGAAGGCTCTTTCAGTACGACGTTTTTATTGGCTACTTTCCACTAGCGTTAGCGTCAAGGAGGCGGAGCCTACGCAAATAGCTTCTGGCTGCGCGTCTTGGCGGTGATTAGAGGAAAGTCTTCCTAACCAATCGCAGCCTTGCATTTCATGCTGGCCGGTAAGAGCTGCAGCTTCCCTTCACCTGTTCTTTATCTGCCTTTCAGTGGCGAGTTCGTAAGCACCAGGTTAGACAAGTTAACCCTTTTGGGCCGTCATGCTTGCTGGTTGAGATTCACTGATTAGCTCAGCTCATGTTTCCCTCCAATTCTTCCTGGATTTGGCCTACCCAAACTCAACAAACGTGGGGGGAACAGTTCTGACTTGGGGTCGCTTGCAGATGCGAGGTAACACATTTGGGAATATGCTTGAAACTTGGGTTCAGGTCTCGCCTGATCCCGAGTGCAAGTTGGCACAGCTGCTCTTATGAGAACGTAGGTGGCTCTGAAAAGAGCCTTTTTACGTCGACTTTCTGGAAACGCAACTCAGGCCCGCTCCCCGCGGATGCGGCGGGCCAGCTGGATGTCCTTGGGCATGATGGTGACGCGCTTGGCGTGGATGGCGCACAGGTTCGTGTCCTCGAACAGACCCACCAGGTAGGCCTCGCTCGCCTCCTGCAGAGCCATGACGGCCGAGCTCTGGAAGCGCAGGTCGGTCTTGAAGTCCTGCGCGATCTCGCGCACCAGGCGCTGGAACGGCAGCTTGCGGATCAGCAGCTCGGTCGACTTCTGGTAGCGCCGGATCTCGCGCAGCGCCACGGTGCCGGGCCTGTAGCGGTGCGGCTTCTTCACGCCGCCCGTGGCCGGCGCGCTCTTGCGGGCAGCCTTGGTGGCCAGCTGCTTGCGCGGGGCCTTGCCGCCGGTGGACTTGCGGGCGGTCTGCTTCGTACGAGCCATGTTTTATGCGACTATTGGCTTGCGGGCGCCTAGCGGCCATATTTATAGACTTATCTTCGTCTTTATTGGACCAGAAAAACAGGAGTTTGTGGATTTGGAGTCTGATTGGGTAGAATTCGATCCTAAGAATCGCAAGATGGTTACACTATCCCTTTTTTCCTGATTCCTTCTTCCTGAATTTACGGACCACGGAGTGTTTTGAAAAGATGGTTCTTTTCAGTTGATGTAACTTTTCTGAAAGCAGTGTATAGTGTTCCGCTCACTGTGAGCTGTAAGAGGTTCCCTCGGAAACAAGCGTGCCCCTTTCCTACACTGCGATTCAGTTTGTTGCAAATCACCAGTTACTGTAATTCTTCTGCCAGAGTTAGCGTTTATTTACCTCTGGCACTGTGTCCCGAGGTTTGGAAGCCTTTATAACCGTAGCTGAAAAATGACAACGCAATATATGGTGAAAGGAACTAAAATCAAACTTACATTTTTATCTACTTCTAAACCCGACGAAAGCTGGCCTACATTAGCCACACACCCACGTTCTGTTTGCCCGCCCCTCCCCCGCCTTCCCTCTCTTGTGTGCACCGTCCTCATCCTTACATTAAAGACCTATTAAGTCCTGCAGGTGAAATGAGTATATTTCAGAGAAGGATAAGATTAGAAAGCGTTAATAACCCCTTTCTAGTAGACAATAGTTACTAAATAATCAAGCCTTTTTCATTCAAGTGACACGATAAAATAACTTTCAAATCAAAGATTTATTTATTGACGACTAAGGTGCTAACATTTTCATCCACAAAGATTAAATGTTTTATTATATTCTTCCCAAGAAGAGTGAAGTTTTTTTTTTAACCTTACAGCTATTTGACATGTTTTGGAAAGTGCATGTTATAATGCTTATATGCAGATGTGCTAACTAATATAAAACTTTAAATAGCATGTCTGATTTTTTTTTTTTATTTCGAATAAGCGCCGGGCGGTGGTGGCACACCCCTTTAATTCCAGCACTCAGAAGTATGGATTAAGTTTTGGGTTTGGGTTCAAGTGCCTCTGGAGTTATAATGGAACACCAACTGGGACAATTTAAGTTTTGATCTGTGGGCTGCTCAGGCTGTATACCTGATTTGCTTTTATTTTGTCTGGTCTGCAACCCAGGACCAAATTAAGAAATCACGGGAATTTGGGTTTCTTTCCTTACTCCATTTTCAGATGGACCAGTGCCTCTGGCATTCTCAAGAACGGAAATCAGTCACAGGTACTGCCTATAGACAACAGCTATATTTCTCTGGAATGTTCTAGAATCTAGTAATGTGTTACAATATTTCAGAGCTATATAAAGTGTTGTTGTTTTATTCCAATAGCTATCCTCATGAGACCTGATAAATGTTAACAGATATTTTAAGGGCTTTTTTTTTTTTTAATTGCAGGGTTTTTTGTTTTTGTTTTTGGTTTTTTTTTGCTTTACTTTGCTTTAATTTTCATAGTTTCTTGGTTGGACCTGAATCTTACAAAGACAGATAGTCAAAACAATTTGTTTTCCTTTAAATATGTTGTTTTCGGGCTGGAGAGATGGCTCAGTGGTTAAGAGCTTTGCCTGCTCTTCCAAAGGTCCTGAGTTCAATTCCCAGCAACCACATGGTGGCTCACAACCATCTGTAATGAGGTCTGGTGCCCTCTTCTGGCCTGCAGGGATACACACAGACAGAACACTGAATACATAATAAATAAAATTTAAAAAAAATATGGTGTTTTCTTTAAAATACATGCCCTGAGCGGAGACATGAGAATTCTCCAGAGATGAGTGATATTCAAATGGGGTGGGCAGAATTCAGGGTCCTTGGAGGGGACAGGGAAAGGAAGAGGGACACATAGAAAACTCAAATGACTTTTTGAGAAAATAAATAGGTCTTAGGAGAATAGATGGAGCCGGGATAGTCCTGAGACAATGTCTCTTAGAAATGACCTAAGGTCTCATCTCTGAAAAGAGAAAAATGGAGTTGCTCATCCCCCCCCCCCTTCCAGGGGGGCGGGGTAATTTTCAGCAAACGGAATAAAATGCTGGCTTCTTTTTCTTTTGCAGATTCTACTTTGAGACAGAGAAGGGATTTCAGGATCTCAACTCTTCAGTTCAAAATGATTCTCATGCCCAAAGTGGGCACATATTCTTCATCCCCTTCAAATCAGAAGAGGGCAGACATTGTCTCTGATCATGCCTAGGGCCCTGGGTACCAAGCTCCGTCAGCCTGGGCATGCGATTGTTTGCAATCTGATCATGTCTTCCTTTCTTACTAGTGTCTAAAGGGTCAAATGCAGGCCTGTCCATTCATAAACATTGATGAGCTTCTGCTGCACTTCGATTTATAAAAAAAGAATAAAAAGAAATCCCTCCCTATAAGGGGCATGGTGTGGAGCCGGTAAAATACAGAGGTGTGGAGTTAACACGTCATCCGGGAAATCAGAAAACAGCAAGTTGTTTCTCTGCCAGGAAGCTCCTGAACCGAAGCTCTGTGACTTCTAGGGTGCTGGTTGGGGCATGTAGGATTGTCCGTGCAGTGACCCACAGAGGGATCCGTCAGTCAAGTACAAGTGTCTAGATTTACGGGGAAAGGGGCTAAGTCCCCCCACACCCTAAGCAACACATTTCACAGGCCTTAGAATTAAAACATTTGAGGTTATTTATTTATTTGCTGAGCTCTGAGCCTAACATGACTCAAAATCTCCGACATCTACCTACAAGCCTGGAACGAGAAAATACGGACAGGGGAAAAAAACCAGGCGCTCACCAGTACATGTAAGACAAGGAATAAAGGGTTTCCCCAAACAAACAAAACCACCCACCACAACTCTGATGCAGAATATTTTCTTATGATTCCTCATGGAGGGCCTTGGGAACGACGAACACGCCAACAATCCAGACTCCAGCTCATTCGCTACGGCGTCACTCTGTGAAGCAGACACATGCTTGCAAAAGTGAATTTAGCCAGCTGCAGGGGGGCTCAGTCTGGAACCATTCCCCGCGGGAATCACGCGCAGACCTCAAGGGACTGGTGCAAACGAACGTTGCGACTCTCCCAGACTTCGGTAGCCAGCAGGTCTTGGGGGAGAGGTGCGTGCGGACCCACTGATCGTGGCGAGAAAGCCCTGCAGCATCCTCAGACGGATTTTCCTAGGACCTAGTTTCCGCGTGAGCTGAGAACCGTCTATATCAACAAAACAGTGACTATTCAGAACCACCCCTTCCATATTCCTGGCTCCGCAGCTTCCGGTTATGATACCCACACTACTGGAACTTCTTTTGCAGTGGTTTTATCTAAATGCAGCTCTGGGTCCTTCGATGCAGTTCTCTCCCCTTCGCATCTCTGAATTCCGTTTTTCTCCAATCTTTTATTCTTTTAGCGCCCGTGTGGTCCAGAAGTCCACAAACTAGAAGAAACAGAGCCGTAAAAGACTGCGGTATCTCTAAATTTTATTTGGGATTCTGAATTATCCCAGGGACTACGGCATTACAGTTTAGGGAAAATTAAAAAGAAAGGCAAGGCACTATGAGGGACCGGTAGAGGGCAGAGAAGAGAGAAGAAAAAACAGGAAAATGACGCAATAGCCAGAGCCGGGACTATTTAGAAAGGTTCCCGCCCGCGCGCTTTCGGTTTTCAATCTGGTCCGATCTTCTCATATATTAGAGGGACGCCACTTCCACTGCTTCACAAGCTAGTATCTTGAGACTGCAGTCGCCATGTCTGGTAGAGGAAAGGGTGGAAAGGGTCTAGGCAAGGGTGGTGCCAAGCGCCATCGCAAGGTTCTTCGCGACAACATCCAGGGCATCACCAAGCCCGCCATCCGCCGCCTGGCCCGACGCGGTGGTGTCAAGCGCATCTCCGGCCTCATCTACGAGGAGACTCGCGGTGTGCTGAAGGTGTTCCTGGAGAACGTGATCCGGGACGCCGTCACCTACACTGAGCACGCTAAGCGCAAGACCGTCACCGCCATGGATGTGGTCTACGCGCTCAAGCGCCAGGGCCGCACCCTGTATGGCTTTGGGGGCTGAACTGCACCGCCACTGCCTCGTCACCTATCCCTAACGGCCCTTTTTAGGGCCAACCACAGCCTCATCGGGAGAGCTGACACACTTGACTATTGTAACCAAATTACGTTCGTAGCTCTAGACTCGGTAGGGGAAAAGACTCGTCAAAATGGAGTCACTGGGTTTGGAGTCGGGCTTTAATGTTAAAGTTTGATTTCCCTTAGCGGTTAACATCCAGGGCAGGGCCTGCATACAGGCAGCTGTTTAGTCTGCAGCGACAGGATGAGGTGGCTGCAGGTAAGAGGTTAAGGATTTTTAGAAGTCTCACCAGAACTGCCTTAGAAAAGGCCCCTCAGTTTAGGTAATGATAGAAAATAGTGGATTTTCAGTAGAGTTAGCAGCTTTGCAAGTATACTAACTGTGAGGACTATAGTCTCGATGGTTAAGCAAGGTCCACTTGTCCACTTTTTCTTGTAAAGCCGTTATGGCAGGAACTTCTAAGGAGCTGATGCAGAGGCAATTTCTGGTTTTTGTTTTGTATTTTCTTTTGCTTTGTTTTTAGACACAGGGTTTCTGTGTAGCCTTGGCACTTCCGGAAATCTTCCTGTAGACCAGGCTGGCCTTGAATTCACAGATCCATCTGTCTGCTTCCTGAGTTCTGATATAAAGGTGTGCACCACCACCGGCTTTGTACACAGGTTTGAGGAAAACCTGCACGGGACCTTGCCACAAAGAAAGCCATGGACAAGAGACCAAGGCGAACTATGAACTATAATATAACCTAGTGGCAGCCGCTCAGGTGTGTGGTATGTTGAGACCTGTTTAGGAAGATCTGTCAGAACATGTCCACCACCCATCAGTACAGAGGGAGCAGTTTAATTTTGATAAGGCAAAAACAAATTCTCAGTACGGCCAAGAATGCAGAAAGCTATTCTCTATGCTTCTATTATGCCTGCGCCATGAGCCCCCCAGAGACCACCAGGACTCCGAGTTCACTTAATACAGTGGTATATTATTTGTAGTTTAATAAACCTTGCCTGAAGACCAGAGGCAAAGCTAAAGCCACTAGAGATCAGGTATTGGTGACACACACCTTTAGTCCCAGGATTTGGGAGACAGAATCAGACAGATCTCTGTAAATTCAAGGCCCCCATGGGCTATACAAGGTCAACACAGAAACAAGCTCAGGTGGTGGTGGCTCACCTTTAACCCAGGCCTTGGGAGTCGTGTGCCCTTCATCCCAGCACTAGAGGGAATATAAAATGAGGGGAGAGACTTAGTTTGCAGTAGCCCAACCTTGGTAGAGGCAAGATTTCTGTAGTGACTTGGCTGCTTTGCTTTTCTGGTTTTCAGGTTGAATCCCAATTTCTATCTCTGGGTTATTATTATTCGTGCTACAACATGCAAACAGCAAAAATCCTTTACTACAGGCTCAAGCTCAGGCTCTCTGCTCCGCTCCAGCACAGCTAGACCAGGGGAGGCCTTGAGCTCAGCTATGGCAGGCACAGCGCTTTTAAGGAGGAAGGGATGGAGTTGGGGGGGGGGGGGACTCCTGGTTGGGCAGGAGTGAGGTAACGGAAGTCTTGTCAAACAGGGATTGGTACTGGCGTTGCTGCAAGGAAACTGGCAGCTTATGTAGAAGTTAGGTAACCTATCCTTAATTGTCTCAGTTCTGATTGGTCTCCAGCGGGGTACAGTCTGTGGCTTTTCCTGGTTATGGTAGTGTTGAGGTCTAGTTCCAGGATTGGATTGTTAGTTTGCAGAATGCCAAGGCTGTGCTAATGTTGGGCCTCTCCACTTCTCTTTCCCTACAGTCCAGATTTGGGTTGAGCATGTTATAGGCTGTTTTATTTTTATTTTAATTGTGCATTGATCTTTTACTTTGGAATATTATACAATCTCCATATTCAGTTACATGATCCTACATAAGGACTGAACTTCCAATTCGAGAAACTGGATTTCAGTGTATACTACCTCAGGAGTGCTGTAAGGATCATCTTAGCCATGTGTTTGTAATGGTCACTTTAAAGAAAATACATTTTAGGTAACTAATGTGTGTGCCCTACAGACACACACACACACACACACACACACACACGAACAGTTCAAGGCGGCCCATATTGAGTAGAATGAGGAATGTAGATGATTTTCAGAAACTCAAAACTACAGAAATTACTATGTTTGGAGAAACTGGGGAAGCTTGGTGGTAGGGATAGTGTCTATGTCAGTCTTTGGCAAATCCAGAATGCCTTCCTTCATGATAGAAATTCCCTGAGGGCTGGGGGCGGGGGCGGGGGCGGGGATAGCAAGGACAGCTTGTGTGACCATTTGCGCTGAGGAAGAAATGGACTCTCCTTCTAAGCCTCGCCCTCGATTTACAGTTCTAGTTCAGATAATGAATGCTGTGACTCCGCCTGTTGGGGCCCTCCAGATGAAAACATCTGCTTCTCACTGAAGCGCTCTGAATCACTGAGTTACAAAGGTTTAAAGAGAACTAACTCAGCCACTAAAGGAAGCAGGAAACCTTTCTCTGGTGAAGTCGGTGGTTCTGAAAGTGGGAATTCCAGTTCTCAGTGTGGATCACCTGAGCCTCGCTGCAGACCAACTGAACTGGGAACTCTGGGTGTTTGGCCCAGCAATTTGTGGCACAATGCCAAGCTCTCCAGGTGGTTCTAACCCACACTTAACAACCACGGACCCAGGTGACAGATGTTTTGGTTGTTATGGTGATGGTGCTGGACACCACAGGCCAGGCATTCCGGCCAGTTCTCTATCACTGAATTAGAACCCCACCTCCAGATTTCCTTTAGAGGAAATACGTGGCACCCTGCTTGCCATAATATTAGATTTTGGTTTATTTGATGGAAAAGAAAGCAGACCCGAATCCTAATGTTAAGTAAAAGATACAGGTGGAAAAAGACCCAATTGCTTTAACCCTCAAGCAACCATCGAGGCCATAGAAATGAAAAGGGTACAGGCTTCTTTTATTAAGTATTACTGCTTTGTGCTTTTAATAGTGCAGTATTGAATTTTATAATCAATGAGTAAGACCTTTTTTATTCCCCAAATTTTCCAAGATCCAGCCTTTACACCATAGTTTATCTTTTGCCTTTTGAGAGAGGGTCTCCCTAGTAACCCCAGCTGTCTGGGAACTCTGTCAGCCAGGCTGGCCTGGACTGTGCCACTGACTCTGGAGTCACCTTTCACTGTTTTCCTTTTACCCCTTCCTTTGAAAGCCTCCACTTCATTGTAGCTGTTAATCTAGATGTTATTTATTTCTCTCTAGTTGAGCCAAAAGACCCGCGCTGACATCCAGACAGACTGTGACTAACCATGCTCATTTGTATGAATATACGGAGAATTGCTAGGAATAGTCAGAAAAATTTAACAACACTTTGTAAGTATTGGTATTTTTCTTCCTTGACTTTTTCTGAATTTTTTTTTAATTTCTTACAATACGCATGAATGGATTTCTTCACAAAATGATAAATTATTTGCTGCCTGAGGACAGCAGCCATGGAAAATGGCCCCAGCCCCCAGCATTGATGTGAGCTCACCTGCAGCCCCTGTTCCAGGCCCTGAAGCTATCAAAGGTCATAGATTCATCAGCTTTGTTTAGTTTTTACCTTAACATCACTGTGCTGGCTAGTTTTAACTTAATACACGCTTTAGTCATCTGAGAGGAAGGAACCTCAATAGAGAAAATGCCTCCATAAGATTGTGCTGTAGGCAACCCTGTAGGGCTTTTCCTTAATTAGTGATTGAGGGGGAGGGCACAGCCCATTGTGGGCGGGATCTCCCCCAGGCTGGTAGTCTTGGCTTCTGTAAGAAATAAGATTGAGCCAGGCAGAAGTGGCACACGCCTTTAGTTCCCAGCACTTGGGAGGCAGAGGCAGGCAGATCTACAAAGTGAATTCTAGGGCAGTTAGGGTTGTAACACAGAAAAACCTATCTTCAAAAATAAATAAAAATAAATGAAAAAAAGAAGTGAGTAACCCAGAAAGCAGCACTCTTCCATGGCCTCTGCATCCGCTCCTGTCTCTAGGTCCCTGCCCTGTTGAGTTTCTACCTTCCTTGCTTTCAGTGATTAACTGTTACAAGGAAGTAATATGTACAACAAACCCTCTCCTCCCCAAGATACTTTTGATCATGGTGTTTCATCACAGCAATAGGAACCCTAACTAACCCAAGCCACTTTCCTCCCTTCCCCTCATGCTCTGAGCTTCTACATGCTTCAGAGTGAAGAGGTTCTGTGGCTGTTTCCCCCTCCCCCCCACAATCCACTGTGAACTGAAGACTGAGATTGGGCCTCCTGCCTCAGGAGTTCCTTCTGGTTCTGTTCACAACCTCTTTCACTTATAAGTCTTTTTGCTGTTATTGTTTTTGTTTTCCAGACAGGGTATCTCTGTCTGGCTGTCCTGAAACTAGCTCTGTAGATCAGTCTGACCTCAAATTCACAGAGATCCTCCTGCCTCTACCTCCCAAGTGCTGGGATTAAAGGTGTGAAAGACCCCCACTCACTAAGCAGCAGTAATGCCATTTTGCAAGGCTTAAACTTTGGAGCAACGCAAGTAATTAGAGCAGGGAAGTTCGACTTGAAAACAAGGGCGGAGAAGCCAGGCGAGATATCTGCGGTCAGCCGGTCAGCCACCTGGCCCCAAGCGATAAGGAACCCGCAGCTGGCCTGCTCTAATGAGAACCTCCCGTTTGCATAGTCAGCACATGTGCCCAACTTAGAATGTCAGTAATTCACAGAAGAAGACAACTCCCCCTATGAAAGATCCCAGCTTATCTGCTGTAACGTCATTTCACAAAGCTTTTGACGAACGACTGTAAGTGCAGAGTAAGGTCAGGGTCCCTGGCTGCAAAACAGGATCTTTATATCCATAGATTAGGACAGGACATCAATTAACAGGATATCTGTTCCCATACATCTGTGCTGGGAGAGGAAAAACCACCTGTGCCCCTTGCCCCATTCCAACTGACCACTAACGATGCATTTGCTTCTGTAATCTGCTTCTGCTGCCCTCTTTCCTATAAAA